CACTACTTTCAAGAAAGCGAAGCCAGCGTTGATTGATAAGGTGTTGACTCACTTCGACCCGTCCTTGCCAAATCAACTGGCGTGCAACGCTTCCCCATATGGAGTTGGGGCCGTCGTGTCACACATCACATCTGCAGGAGAAGAGAAGCCCATTGCTTTCACGTCAAGGACTGAAATACCCGCAGATTGAGAAAGGGTATTATCTTCGGGATCAAAAAGTTCCACACCTACCTGTTTGGATGGAGGTTCACCTTGCTGAAGGACCATCGTCCCCTGACCTCCATCTTTGGTTCACACTCTGGCATAACAACTCTAGCAGCAAGCAGAATGCAGTGTTGGGCGCTAATCCTGAGTGCTCACAACTATGACATCATGTACCGGAAGTCTGAAGCGCAAGCCAATGCTGACAGCTTGTCACGGCTTCCCCTACTGGACACGTCTCTGAATGTCCTTGAGTGGCCCAGCCAGAGCCCGTACTTGAACCCGATCGAACATCTCTGGAGAGACCTGAAAATAGCTGTGCAACGACGCTTTGCTCACAGCTTGTCATGGCTTCCCCTACCTGACTGCCCTAAGAGCAGTGAACAGAGGATCTTCTACTTCGACATGGTGGATAACACACCTGTGACAACTCTCCAGATCAAGAAGGAAAGAAAAGTAGATCCAACACTGTTTAGAGGGATCGACCAAGTGATGAGAGGTGGTCTTGCATTGCTGATGTGCCACCTGATCTCCAGCTTACCTTTCACGGGGAAAGGAGTTGACATTGACAGCTGTATGCTTACTCCAGTACCTGGTGGACTGGGAGGGTTATGGTCCAGAGGAGCGGTGTTGGGTTCTGGTGGACGACATTCTAGATCCCAACATCATCCGAGAGTTCCACCTTTGCTGTCCGGACCGGCCCGCTCCACGCCCTCGGGGGCATCTTTGGGATGAGATGGAACGGGTTGTTTGCAGCATGAATGTACCACCGTCCAATTTGTAGCAACTGCATGATGCCATTGCAAATGCCCCGAAGAATTCAGGCTGTTCTGGAGGCAAAGGGCAGTCCGACCCGGCACTAGATGTACCTAATAAACTGTCTGGTGAGTGTTTATTGGGACTAAGTATTTATGTACTATGTGGGTTCCTCTAGCCGTAGTTCTAATGCTAAGCAATATGGGTATTGAAGTCGGTTATTAGAGGGACTTCCTGAAGACTTCCTGAAGTAATGTAAGTAAAGCACTCTAAAACTATTTATCCGTCTCCGTCCCCATTCCTGAGTCTAAAGTTAATCTGAAGAGTCAAGATACAACATGGTCCCTTTCGTATATCTTTTGATCCTGACAAATTCCCCAGTCCCTATTGGTGAAAAGCATACTCATAACATGATGCTGCCACCACAACACTTGAAAATATAGAGGTCTGTGGGCATCAGTAGGTTGAGGGACAACCTGGGCACTCTCAAGGAGCTGGTCATCAACTCCATAAGGTGAGGTCAAGAGTTGTTTATTGATTGAAAATGAGATAGTATTTCATGTATCTCTATGGTATTAGCTCTGTTTCCTCTGGATACTAACTGTCTAATTTATGACAGACTGTTAACAATGCTAACTAGCGAGTGTATGGGAGTTTTGGTTTTGGGTTCTGAGATGACCAACTACCTAATTTGTAGTAGTGAAAAGCATGTGTTTGAGAAATACAGTTCAGTAGTAGCTCAGTTGGTAGAGCATGGCGTTTGCAATGCCAGGGTTGTGGGTTCGATTCCCACGGGGGGCCAGGGGGGCCAGTATGAAAATGTATGCACTCACTAACTGTAAGTCGCTCTGGATAAGAGCGTCTGCTAAATGACTAAAATGTAAAAATGTAACCACAGCAAAAATATCTCTGTATATAACTCACTGCCACCGCAGCTGTAGGAGAAAGGGCTGGCCATGCATGGGATACGTTCATCACTGAGAACTCATACAGAAATCCCTGAGCAGTCGAGGACGGGACTTCTTCAAAACCACACTGATGTCAACTCAGCTCTATATGATGTCAATGCAGACAAATATTCTATGACCCTCTTTGGTGAAAGTCTACAGTGAATCAATAACAAACCACAAATGAGCGTAAATACAGGAATCATATTTATTTGCATTTACATTCAGGACCAAGGAAAACACAGCTCAATAGCATGCCACATTCTGTGAAGAAACAGTACATCTGTCCCCAATCAACAGCTCACTAAGATCACACAGTCATGTCACTGCTGACTACCGATTGGTTTTTCAAAGCATTGTGTTAATGCTGTGTTCATAAAGAAGTGTGATTTACCAATTGTGAAGTCATAAATACCAGTTGGATGCATTCACATGCTTTGTTTTATTTTACTAGGTAAGTTGACTGAGAACCCATTCTCATTTACAGCAACGACCTGGGGAATAGTTACAGGGAAGAGGAATGAGCCAATTGGGGTTGATTAGGTGGCCATGATGGTCAGAGTGTGAATTTAGCCAGGACACCAGGGTTAACACCCCTACGATAAGTGCCATGGAATCTTTAGTGACCACAGAGAGTCAGGACACCCGTTTAACATCCCACCCGAAAGATGGCACCCTACACTGGGCAATGTCCCCTATCACTGCCCTGGGGCATTGGGATATTTGTTTTAGGCCAGAGGAAACAGTGTCTACTAATGGCCCTCCAACACCACTTCCAGCAGCATCTAGTCTCCCATCCAGGACCAACCCTGCTTAGCTTCAGATGCAAGCCAGCAGTGGGATGCAGGGTGGTATGAACTCGTTGAGAAAAGCCGATAGGCTAACGGCCAACAAGCTGCGTCAACCATAAACTATAAGTACAGCTATCATGTTGGTAAAAAACTATAGTGTTCATAAACGATATTTATAGATTGCTTTTTTGTAAATAATGTTTTGTTGTTGCATTTAACTGCCGAAAATGCTGTTATCAAGGTAATTTCCTAAGTAGATGAGGTCAGCATGTGGGAGAAGTCAGAGCTCAAGAATGAGAGATGAGTTTCCCACTGGTAATTACCAGTTGGAGGGGTGTTCAAATTGATTTTACAGTCGTATGTGGGAAATACCACCTTCCCACTTGCTTATGATCGCAGCATAACTCCTATAGTCCTGCTCAGTGGTTAATTTGAGCCGGAACAGGATACGGCACCTCTCAGATTTGACTTTGTTTGTTCCAGCATCTATTTGCCCGGATCTGATACCTCTCGCGGCATGATTTATTAATTGTTTCACTGTTCGCACTGTAGACATTCTAATAAAAGCGATCAGCTTTAAATCAAGTTGCCTCCTCGTTAATTCTCCCGTCCCCCAGAAAGACCATCATGTAAAAGCACAGTGATCCTTCTGTGTAATCATCCTATCCTGCCACACTGATTCCAGACCTGCTCTCTTATTTGTACTTAGAGGTTATGGTGTGGGCCGGTGGGGTAAGTAACTGATGTTGACACAGGTCTTGTTAGTGGTGGTCAGCTAGTGAAGACGTGCCTACGTAATCACGTTATGTAGCCTAGGCTATTCGTCTCCCTACTGAATTTGAATTGTGGGAAAGCCAAATAAAAACTGGATAAGAAAAGGCAATCTAGTTTGATGACATTTTTCAACTCCAAAAATCCAGAGAAAGCTGGTGAATCGAACCCAGAACGAGCCAGAGAACTGTCAGTGCCGGAGGAGAGGAGTGAGGGGCAAACTGTTCCTGATGGTAATGCCTTAGCTAGCAGTGCTGCTAACCCCGCCAGTTCAGCATCACCACCGGCACCTCCACTAGCTAGTAGGCCTAATAGCGAGTCAGACTCAGCGGGAGAGAGAGACAGGGAGCTGGGGGGAGGGGGCAGTGCATCCACTGACGAAGTGCTCGGAGCAGGTGCAATTTGTAGTTCAAGAACAAGCAAGCGTATAACCCCTGGCTTGTCATGCAGAACTAAAAGTTGGGCTGTACAACATGCAAAAAGGTAGGGAGCTTGGGTCTAGAAACGACTGGAGGGATTAAACTAGCAAAAGAGTGAGTGGGATGTACAGTAAATTAACATCCTATGCCTCAGATGTAAAAAAATAACAAAGAGCCCTCAGAAAAAAGGTTTTTGAAAATTCCTGAACCAAGGCACATTTGGTGGCAGCAAGCTTTGTAGACAAGGCTAAAGAGGACACCGAGGTTATAGTTAACACTCAAAATTAGAAAAAAAAATAGACACTACAGCAAGAGTCTTCAGAACAGCCTTAGAAGGAGGCTAAACGTCACAGCCACAGGCCGACTCATGGCTTTGAGCAAGAAACTGACTCTCAGGAGTTAAATGGACTTGAAATGGGGGAGTCATTGTGGGAGGTTTTGAAAACAAAGGTAGTACTTTTTTTTGTTTTTGTTTTTTACAAACTTGTTCGGTACTGTGAAGGTAATCTGAATATCTGCTTCATATTATTATATAGGCAAGAGGCCTATATATTCTCATATGTGTGTTCTTCTGCAGCCTACATTGATTTATTTTATTTTAAGTTTTATTCCGATATGGTGATATTTGTTCTACTGCTACGTTGATGTCTTGAAAATTATACGAAATTCAGGTCTTGTAAACCCCACAGCTGAGTATGTGTGCATATGCATATGGCGGGTGTTCTGCAGTGTCGTCTAAAAATGTTGCTGTACATTGATGTCTATAAAATTGGGCTATAAGAAATTCATACTTGTATAAGCCCCGCAGCTATACTCAAGTATGTGTGCATACTGCAGTGACGTCTAAAATGCTTTGGATTAATCAGCACCTTGGAGAGTGCTGTCCGTTTCACCACCATAGACAATAGGCTACTTGGCTGTTTACTCTGTCTGCTGCACTGCCACGTTGTGTTTGACACTTTTTTTCTCCATGTGTTCCGGTACCACAGAGCCCCCCGGATACTCCCACCCCCCCTCTCCTCTCGCCCTCACTATGTGTTCCGGGACCTCCCGATTTACAAATGAAGCAATGGTCCTGCTGAATTGTCTCTGGAAGGCCTAGCTATCTCAGTGTATCAGAAGTCTTTTATCAGATTCTGTATTTTCCAGTGCTGCCCACTGCACTCCTGAATGATGAGCTGGTAGTAGGTGTCGTCCCCTGGGGCAATCTCCAGACATCTCTTTGTCTGTCTGTTCAGGATGGCTTTTCCCTGTAAAACACAGCAAACATTCTACTGTACAACAACACAATAAAAAAACTTAAAATGTCATAGACATCTCCCTTGTTTCCAACAGTTTATAAGCATCAACTTCCCTATTTCACGTTGGAGTGCTTACCTGTTGAAAGTCCCAGAGCATGTGGAATCCCTTCTGCTTGGCCACCTTGCACTCATACAGTCCTGGGGTTCGAGTGCCAGTGTCCACCAGACAGCGATTACTGTTGTACTTGTGAGACTTGATGCCTCCAATGTAGATTTCCCCACTGGCTCGATAATAACAGTTCTGGACAGAGAGGATAGATATTTAGGCTTTTCTGAGTCTGTGGTATTGACAGTACTTTGCATTGTGGTATGGGTTGAATCCCAGGTCTGCCATAGGATGCACCATATTATACATGCAGTTAAATTCTGAAATACTAAGCAATGATTCTACAAACCTGTGGACCAAAATAATGGCAGCCATACACAATAGGTGTGTTCCATGGAACTGGGCCCTGATCTATACAGAGATCCATCTTCAGGTCATTGACCAGCTGTTGATTTTATAGACAGAGATTAAACAGTTATATGTTATGACTTAACTGGATAGAACCCAAATGCAGACAAGTACACCAAGCCAGAGAAGTTTTAACAGGTTTATTATAATGTTCAATAGTCCAGGTTTCCAATAAATGGGGAAGAGCAAGTCCAGGTTACAGGGAGGGTAACAGATCCAGGTCAGGGCAGGTGTGGTACCGTAATGTCCTAGTGTCCGTGGTGAGTCCAAAGGAGAGGTCCGATAGTGGAGAACAGGATGGTGGTGGCAGGAGTGAAGCAGAGGCAGGAGTCAGGTTCCAAATATCTGTGGCACAGGAGAAAAAGTAAATAGACAGGCCAAAAAACACAAGAGCGAAAACAGACAGGTTGAGTCGGCAGCGAGACTAACATGGTTGTCTTGACTATGATCTGACGATGAGTGGTAAGTTTGACCGGGTCTTAAAGGCTGAGGTGATTATGGTGAATGAGCTGCAGCTGGAACCCTGACTCCCGCACACCAGACTTCACTCCTGCAATCAAGGACAGACAGAGGGGAGGGAGAGAGCAGAGAGAGAGCTACCTAGCAGCAGTAGGCCTAACAGTACCCCCCCCTCTACGGACGCCACCTGGCGGCCGACGGGGTTTATCGGGATGTAACCTATGAAACTCTCGGACCAGAGCAGGATCCACAATGAAGCTCCTGGGCACCCAGGAACGTTCCTCAGGACCGTAACCCTCCCAATCCACCAGGTACTGGAAACCACGACCCCGGCGGCGAACATCCAGAAGTCGCCGGACAGTGTAGACCGGACCCCCACCCACGATCCTGGGCGGAGGAGGGGGACGAGAGGGCGGGCACAGAGGGCTAACCGACACAGGCTTAATCTGGGAAACATGAAAGGTGGGATGAACCCGTAGGGAGGCAGGAAGCTGTAGCTTAACCGCGCAGGGGTTAACAATAGACAGTATCTTGAACGGTCCTATAAAACGAGGCGCCATCTTCTTAGACTCCACCCTCAATGGAAGGTCACGTGACTTAAGCCATACCTCTTGACCAGGAGAGTAACCGGGAGCCTGGGACCGGTGACGGTTGGCTTGCCTCTGCATGTACGCCGAAGCTCGGGACAGAGCTACCCTGGCCTTCCTCCAGACCTTGAAGCAGCGTCGCATGTGGGACTGCACCGAGGGTACTGCCAGTTTCCTCTCTTGAGAAGGGAACAGGGGAGGTTGATAACCCAGAGCACACAGAAAAGGAGACAAACCAGAGGAAGCGTTAGTCAAGGTGTTATGAGCATATTCCACCCAGGGAAGCATGGTGCTCCATGACCCAGGGTTAGACCCTGTGACACAGCGGAGAGCGGTCTCCATCTCCTGGTTCGCTCTCTCGGCTTGCCCGTTGGTCTGGGGGTGATATCCAGAGGACAGGCTGGATGTGATGCCCAAAGCTTTACAGAAAGCTTTCCACACCTGGGAGACAAACTGGGGACCCCTGTCAGAGACAATATCCGTGGGTAGACCATGAGAGCGGAACACATGTTCAACCAAAATATCAGCCGTCTCTCTGGCAGTGGGCAGTTTAGGTAGGGCCAAAAAATGAGCGAACTTAGAAAAACGATCAATCACCGTAAGAATGACAGTCTTTCCAGACGAAGGGGGAAGTCCAGTGACAAAATCCATAGCGATGTGCGACCAGGGCCGGCTGGGTATAGGTAGAGGTCGTAGATGACCAGCGCTGGCCTGGGTGGAGTTCTTACTTCGTGCACATACCGTACAAGCAGCAATGAAGGCTCGAGTGTCCGCCTCCATCGTGGCCCACCAGAACTTCCGTCGCACAAAGTCAAGGGTCCGCGAAACTCCAGGGTGACAGGTAAGGGGAGACGAGTGAGCCCACTGAAGTACCTGGGAGCGAGCAGACTCAGGGACAAACATCCGGTTAGGAGGACCCCTCCCAGGGTCAGCTTGATGATGTTGAGCCTGTCTAACAATCCCCTCGATGTCACATGTGATGGCCGCAATACTGCAGGTAGGAGGCAAAATGGGTTCAGGGTTACTACCAGTATCAACAGCCGAATGAACACGAGACAGGGCGTCAGGCTTGACGTTGCGTGACCCAGGACGGTAAGACAGAGAAAAATTGAATCTCCCAAAAAATAGTGCCCACCTGGCTTGACGGGGGTTGAGCTGCTTCGCTGACTGGAGGTAAGCCAGATTCTTATGATCCGTCCAAACAATGAAGGGTTGTTCCGCCCCCTCCAACCAATGTCGCCACTCCTCGAGAGCCAACTTAACGGCGAGCAGTTCACGATTGCCAACATCATAATTCCTCTCTGCCTGAGAAAGTTTCCTTGAGAGAAAAGCACAGGGATGCAGTTTATTATCTTCAGGTGAACGTTGTGACAACACCGCACCTACCCCAGTGTCGGATGCATCCACCTCCACGACAAACTGGCGGTCGGGGTCCGGCTGCATCAGAATGGGAGCCGAGGCGAAGCGATGTTTCAGTTCTTCGAACGCTGATTCGGCCCCTTCATTCCAAGCGAACGGTCGTGAGATGGAGGTGAGAGCGGTGAGTGGCGCCGCAATGCGGCTGTAGTCCTTGATGAACCTCCTATAGAAGTTCGCAAACCCCAGGAATCGTTGAAGTTGTTTGCGGGTGGAGGGGGCTGGCCAGTCCGTGACAGCAGAGATCTTAGCTGGGTCCATCCGCAACTCCCCCTGAGCTATGATGTAACCCAAAAAAGAGGTCTCAGACACATGAAATTCACATTTCTCCATCTTCACAAACAGTTTGTTCTCCAACAACCTTTGCAACACCTGGCGCACATGCAGTTCATGTTCCTGGGAGGACTCTGAGAAAATTAAGATATCATCCAGATAGACAAAAACAAACCGATTCAACATGTCCCGAAGGACATCATTGACTAGTGCCTGAAAAACAGCAGGGGCATTGGACAACCCAAAAGGCATAACCAGATACTCAAAATGTCCCAAGGGTGTGTTGAAGGCAGTCTTCCATTCATCCCCTTTACGAATGCGCACCAGGTGATACGCATTTCGTAAATCCAGTTTCGTAAAAATGGTAGCACCATGAAGGAGGGGAAAAGCAGAATTAATCAAAGGCAGAGAATACTTGTTCTTAATGGTGATGTTGTTAAGTCCACGGTAATCAATACAGGGTCTGAGGGTCTTATCCTTTTTAGCAACAAAAAAGAATCCCGCTCCTACAGGTGACGAGGAAGGACGAATAATACCTGCCCCCAAGGAGTCCCGAATGTAGTTCTCCATAGCCTCCGTCTCCGGGCGGGAGAGATTGTACAGGCGACTGCTGGGGAGCGGGGCTCCTGGCTGGAGGTCAATGGCGCAGTCGTAAGGCCGGTGAGGAGGAAGAGAAGTAGCTCTGTGTTTGCAGAAAACGGATGCCAGGTCATGATACACGTCAGGAACAACAGAAAGATCCATGGACTCCAGTGGAGGTTGAGGCACAGTACTGGCAGGAGTCTGAGCAGAACACAAACAATTCACATGACAAAATGTGCTCCATGAAACAATGCTACCTGTCACCCAATCAATGTGTGGATTGTGTCTTATGAGCCAGGGGATACCAAGGACCAGGGGAGTCTGTGGGCAGTCGATAATATGGAATTGAATGTTCTCCTGATGATTTCCCGACACTCTAAGACAAACAGGAACAGTCTGATGGGTAATACGGGTCAACAATTGTCCATTTAGACCCTTAGCCTGCAGCGGACAGTCCATAGGAACAGTCTCCAAATCCATTTGTTGAGCCCACTCTCTATCCAAAAAGCTTTCGTCGGCACCAGAGTCAATCAGCGCACTAACAGAGAAATTCTGGGACTGCCACTGGAGGGATGCCTGGAGCAGAATGCGGGGAGAAGAGGAAGAATCCGCTGCTCGGCTCACCAAAACTTCTCCCATTAATGATGAGCCGGCCCTTTTCCCGGACGAACTGGGCAGGAAGGAACGAAATGACCAGCTTCTCCACAATACAGGCAGACCCGAGCCTGAATACGACGTGCACGCTCCTCTGAGGACAACCGTGCACGACCCACCTCCATGGCTTCGGGTTCAGTGCTCCTCGTATCGACTCGGGAAGACCCGGCTTTCTCCGTAGGGACGATGCAGGGAGGAGTTTGTTGATGACAGACAGGTTGCTTGGAACTAACACTCCTCTCCCGGCGGCGCTCCCGAATCCGATTATCCAACCTGATAGTGAGTGAAATAAGATTATCCAGCGTAGGCGATTCATCATATGACACCAATTCATCTTTTAAAGTCTCAGACAAAGCATTGATGAACACTCCTTGTAGTGCCTCGTCATTCCAACCACTCACTGCTGCTAAAGTCCGAAACTCCACTGCCATCTCCGCCACACCACGAGCCCCCTGCCGAAGAGAAAACAACCGTTTCGCAGCCTCCTTGCCTCGTACTGGGTGGTCAAAAACCTTCCTCATCTCCGTGGTGAAGGCAACGTAAGCGTTGCAAATGTCCGACTGACTCTCCCATACCGCGGATCCCCAGGCACGAGCGGAACCGCTAGTAGAGTTGATAAGGTAGGCAATACGGGCTCTTTCTGAGGCGTAGGTGAGGGGCTGTTGTTCAAACACTAGCGAGCATTGAGTCAAAAAATCGCCACAGGTTCCCATGTTCCCGTCATAGCGCTCTGGAGCAGGAACAAAAGGCTCTCTGATCTGGGCTGAAGGGGTAGTAAGGGCAGACACTTGATTGGAGAGTAATTGAACCTGATTAAGCAGCACCTGACTGTCCTCAGCAATCGTCTTAAACAGGGTATCATGTTGGCCAAGTAAAATGCCCTGATTGGCTATGGCAGTCCAAATTTGAGTGCACTCTGGGGTGGTATCCGAGCTACTGTCTGCTGGGTTCATGTTGGTCAGATCATACTGTTATGACTTAACTGGATAGAACCCAAATGCAGACAAGTACACCAAGCCAGAGACGTTTTAACAGGTTTATTATAATGTTCAATAGTCCAGGTTTCCAATAAATGGGGAAGAGCAAGTCCAGGTTACAGGGAGGGTAACAGATCCAGGTCAGGGCAGGTGTGGTACCGTAATGTCCTAGTGTCCGTGGTGAGTCCAAAGGAGAGGTCCGATAGTGGAGAACAGGATGGTGGTGGCAGGAGTGAAGCGGAGGCAGGAGTCAGGTTCCAAATATCTGTGGCACAGGAGAAAAAGTAAATAGACAGGCCAAAAAACACAAGAGCGAAAACAGACAGGTTGAGTCGGCAGCGAGACTAACATGGTTGTCTTGACTATGATCTGACGATGAGTGGTAAGTTTGACCGGGTCTTAAAGGCTGAGGTGATTATGGTGAATGAGCTGCAGCTGGAACCCTGACTCCCGCACACCAGACTTCACTCCTGCAATCAAGGACAGACAGAGGGGAGGGAGAGAGCAGAGAGAGAGCTACCTAGCAGCAGTAGGCCTAACATTATAAAAGTGCAGATTCCTATCCTGATAATGAGTTGGATTTCTTCTTATTATTTTTTTTCACCTTTATTTAACCAGGTAAGCCAGTTGAGAACAAGTTCTCATTTACAACTGCGACCTGGCGATTCTAGTTGGGTGGCCCTGCATCCTATTGAAAGAAGGATGCCATGCATGCCAACAAACAGTTGGTGAGGAAATAATTCCAGAACAATGATAAATGTTTCAGCCTCACTCACAGCTCCATAACCAAGCAAGTCACCCAGGGGTCTAACATGGGATACACGTTGTCCAGATACCACTGGAAGGGCTTGCAGTTCAGCCTCTTTCTCAACTTCTTCCTCTCTGAAACATCCCCAATGTCTATGCCATGGTCCTGTGGTGAGAAAGAGGAAGATTTCTAAATCAGAAACACAGGCCATGTGAACAATCCACCTATTATCCATTTTTGTTTACCTCCATCATTTCATATAGATCCTATGATCTTTATTATGGCATTGAGTAATAAACAGTTTTCATAATATTTACTGTCTAGTCTACTTCTTTTCAAACACAAAGCATGCATAACAGCGATTATTGTTATTCTATAGGAGCAGCTGAACAAAACCTACTTTTTGAATGGTTTGTTCTGTACAGTACCTTCAGTGGGAGGTTCCAGGCGATGTTGACATTCTGTTTGTATTCATCCATCCAGACCTCAGCCACTCTCAGAGCATTCCTCTTCATTGTAATGCTCAGATCGGGGAGATAGGGTTTATGGGCCCTCTCGATGTGGGCTATTTTAGAACAAGGTATGACCTCAACACTTCCACCACACAGCCACACCTAGGAAAACCAAACACCAAGAGAGAAGGAATAATTTTTAGATATAGACTGAAGTGTCTAGATGTTGGATATAGATTGGTTTGTTCAAACTGAATGAATCAAGAACATAAAATAATTCTGCAAACACAAGTCTGCTTTGATTTCAAACATTCATTTAGCAACTGTAGCAGACGGGCTTACCCGGATGCCCAGTTCAACATTTTCACCTCCATAGATCTTCATACCACCATCGAGAGCACCAATTTCCCCAAAGAACAGGCGATCAACCACTAGTATGCCCATAATGGAGGGGCTCCTGACAAACATACAGTACAAATCATGGTCATTTCTACACTGGGAGAAGTGACATTCATTTTAATGTATAGATAACGCAAAATAATAATCCAGGTGTAAATATTAGGTGAGATTTTCCACCCAATGCTGTGCTTTCCTCATCACCTATTTAAACAGAATTGTGAAACTGGACTATCATCCTATGATGAAATCATGAACAACTCACTTTCCTGGCTGTGACTTGTCTTTCAGGGCGTACCACTCCGGTCTGAAGGACTCGTACATACACCACAGGGCCCCGCAAAGGGTCTG